TAAGCTGGTGACTCTGTGAAGAGACGATCAAAAGGTCGCTTTGTACGTACCATACGGCATGTGCATTGTAATGGCGTGTGCTTTTTTGTGTTTGTTGTTTTGATCCTATCGTTTTTGACGGAACCGCCGCACGACGACGAGTTGTTTTATTCTTGTTCTGTTGTGTATGGTGCGGTGGGATTCTAGAGCGGTACGGTAGCGTGTTGGGGGGGGGGGGGGGGGGACGACACGATCAGGCCAGAACCGCGGGGCGGCTCCCTGAACCGGTTGAAGAATCGTGTGGCAGATGGTTACACTTAATATGCAGGTGAACATAGCCTAGTAAAGAACCTCGCTTCGAGGTATGAAGCGGTTCTAGCGTGGGCTCATAATTTGCCGGCCTCGCTTGGTGTGGGCATGGGTGATTCCCCGCTGACGTTTGTTGACCAGTTTGAGAGGCGCAGCAGACGCATGCTGACAAGTGTCGTCGAGCACATGCCCCTTTTTGGAGTCGATTGGACGATGCATGCCCGATGCATGCATGCCTCCACAAGCTAACGTCGGCCCAGTCAGATCAGGCCGCACATGCTGTCCTGGGAGACGCGCACGACTGCTGCCGTGCGGTGTTTAAGCTAGAGTGGCGCCACGAACCGGCGAAGGAACGACCTTGAACGCTTGTCAGATTGTGCAGCAGACTTGTTCCATTGTACGTAGTATGGTCCCTGACGTTTGGTTGATGATAACGCTAGACTTACAGGCAACTATGCACTTTCTTTTCTTTTTTTTTCCGCCGTTACTGATTAGTCGGCACATCCTATTTGACGGCTTCGAAATTATCACGACAACCCGGGATCCGCCACCTCCCTTTACCAATGGATGCCTGTACGGAAACAAACCCAAACAGCTCCCAACTTGCTCCCCCTGCTACGATGACGGACTCGAGCTTTCCACCTACATGTACCTGCTACGACCAACTAACGCCACCTCCGTGTGTAAAAACCTATTCTGATGTTTCGTTGGTTAGCACCAGCTAGCATCATCAATGATACGAATGCAAATTAATAAACTCAAGACATGCCCGTTCCGGCCTATTTTCTCCCACTCACCGCTGTAAAGACTTGAACAACACAACCTAACCCTTGGAGTTACTTGAGGTTGTTGCACATGTCGAACGCGTACTTCTTTCTGATTATTTCTGTGATTGTATGCACATGCATATTTCACTAGTCTACGCAGCAAAATCGATTAAGCAAACATATGGGATAAAGTATTCAGTCCGTGCTTTGGGGTTAGGGTTAGGGATGTGGTCTGCGTGCCCCCTCCCTATTATTTTTCTATAATAGATACTCTACACATCCCGCGTAGGCGGTCCACATATGTTCATCTCGAAGGGGTACTAAAACCCTGTATAACCCTAACCCTCTCTGTGATTGGATGAATAAAAAAAAAAAAAATGCAGGCGCTCTGCAGCTTGGCAGGAACTTCTCGCCGTGGCCGGAGCCGGCGGAGGGAGGCGTCCTCAACACGACGGGCGTGTACTCGCTCTGCCGCCACCCCATGTACGCGGGTCTGGTGGCGTTCTCTCTCGGGCTGGGGTTCTCGACGGACTCGTTCACCCGCATCGCTCTCGCCTGCCTCCTGGGCTACGTGCTGGTGGGTACTCTCCTGTTGTTGGTTGTTAACTGGTGGTGGTGGTGGTGGTGGTGGTGGTTGTGGGTCCTTTGTTGTTGTTGTTGTTGTTGTTGCTGTTGCTGCTGCTGCTGTCGTTGTTGTTATTGTCTCCTCATCGTTGCCGTGTTGACAAAACACGCGTTAACGGTCTTTTCAAACCAAGAGACCGCTGTTTTCCTACGTCGACCGAGGGATTCTTCCTCCTCGGGCAACTCTACTCTACAGTAGGCATCATGAACGACCTTAGATGTTGCCCTGTTTTGGCCTGCTTCGACGCGACATCCACGACTGTCTGGTGTCGTTGGCAAAGCGAATGTCGGATCCTCTACACTCACGACCACAGTGACTGCCGTATCGAACCGGGCCACAAGAGGGCCAAAGTCAAGGTCGTCGATGACGCGTAGGGTAGCTCAAAGGAGGAAGCATGCCTCTGTCGACGTGGGGAGACAGTCTCTTGGTCTGAAAACAGTTGTGGAGACCAGGATGTACCAAGTAGGCGTCTTCCTAGGGGGTAGTGACGCACATGAACCTGTAGACATCTAGAGACGTGCGGACAGCAGTGTTCTAACGGTGGGTTTCCAAAAAAGATTCACCGAATGTTGTGACCGTCCAGATGAATCTTGAATAGGAGAGAGGTAGGAGGAGCCCACGAAGACGCACTCTCTCAGTTTCACCCGTTACCGTCCTTGACACTATTGCTGTAGCACGTCCGAGCACCTCGGCCACGCTGAGCTATTCCTCGTCACAAAACCAAGAGCAAAAAATACCTCCGCTGGTGAACGGTTAATCGCAACTTCAGAGACTCAGACTGTGTAGAAAGAGGGGTACGCTCAGATGTGTGTCGTGGTGTTGTTTTTGTTTCATTAGAGTATTTGTTTTTGTTGATTTTTCAGTTTCGGGGCACGTCATACGCCTATGCGCCTTCTTTTCACGCCACCTCGTGGTGTACGTATTGTGAAAACAATCAAACAAACGCCCAGTGTAATGCTGACCTATCTAAGCATGTTGTTGCCGTAGTGTACGCATCGATTTGTGCTGGGACGACGCACGGTATTAACGGGTGTATTGTTGGGGGGTCGATTTAGTGCATTGTTGGGGATCGACAAGCACGTGTCACATGTTAGATCAAAAGTCTGGTCTAGCCGACGTCAATTGCCAACGTGAACTATGTTGAAAAGAGGCCAACCACGCGGTTGGTCAAAGGTCTCGATCATGTATTTGGAAACATCGGTCACAGCAGTGGAGTGGTCTGCTCTTCCAACTACACCACCCAAGTTGCGCTTAGACCATTTCGAAAAATGCAACAGCACTACCGTTAGTGATTGTACCTCATAGACTTACTTCCCCGTTCGGTTTTCTCGGTACCGTCCGTGTCAATGTAAAATGGTATGGTGTCGTTCTTGGGGGAGTAAGGGTGCCGTCACTGCGGCGCTCTGGTGCCAGACCAGTGTGCGCTCTTTTCCGGAATACTGTAGGCACCCCAGCTTGCATACGTGCATGTATATAGGGACAGCATGACAGCCTATGCCGTTCGTGTGCGCATGAGCTCGATTTTGGATGCAGCACGCCGTCTGCTTTTCTAGACATTCGCAGAACAGCACACCGATCCCGCCCCGCGCTGCGCCCCCCCCTCACTCAGTTTCCCCAATTCCCGGTTTATTTTCTCTCATGACATGACAAATCCATTTCCATCCATAGATGAAGCCTTTTTTTTTCTTTTCTTGTGTTGCCTCAATCATGAGCCCCCTCTCAGCTACGGATGCAATCGAACGACACAAGGAGAACCAAAACGCCGCGTGCATGCATGTCTGTGTAAACCCCCAGGACCGCAAGGCAGACATGGAGGAGGAGAAGCTGGTAGCCGTCCACCCAGCGTACAAGACCTACAAGGAGGAGGTGTCCAAGTTCGTACCCACTCTCTACTAAAAAAAGGGGAGAAATATGAATGGCATCTAGGACTCGTTGATATTTACAAGATTTCCTTAGTCTCCGTGTGATTTTAGTCCATATTGTACCTTCGCCGAGCCTTTTTTTTTGGAAAGAGCACAATCCGGTTCTGCAAGAACATACGTGTGCTGTAGGCCGGTATGCACGTGAAAAGGTCTATGTTGTCGTTGTGGCATTGCTTGCTTTGGTCTTTGCTGGAAAGCATCACCCTCGTACAATTGCGCCCCATGGCTATCTAAACTTTGTTCATGAGCGGGCTAAGTTGCAGTTCGGGATGAGGTTTTCTGGCGGAAGTGCAAGGCAGATGGGCAGGGGGGGGGGGGTATAGACCGCGGCCAGTTGGACTGGCCTTTGTTTGTCGTGAGGATGATGCTAGACTTTAGACTACAGCCTGGACCTAGACTTTGCTCACGGTGAGCAAGACAAGTACGAATTAGCTGACCTAGTTCATGGCCGTTCGCTTGCCGTGGTGCTTTCGTCTCTCTCACGCAGAGCGGTGGGGGGAAAGATAGAGACTAGGAAGTAGACGTGGGGGGTTCATTTTTCACCCAAGCGACCGCAGCAGCAGCATGTAAGACAGCTGGCGAGCGTGTTCTGGAGCGCGTGTGACGAAAAGGGGTTTCTCTCCCACAAGCGATCGGACAGCAGGCGGTCGCAACGAGCTCCTGTTTTTTTGTTTTTTTTTCGTCTTTTTGACATCCTTTGTAGCCCAGTCCGAAGCGAACGCAGGGTCCTGTTGTGAGTCCCCAGTGAACGCAGGGAAAAAGGGGAAAAACAAGGGACAATTTCTTGGAGAGAGAACCGACCACTCTGCCCAAATGGCAGGTGCACGAATGATGACGCACGACGAGCACGCCCCTCTTTGCTTCCTCTTACGAATTCGAATGGTGCAGTAGTTTTCCAAAAAAACTGGCGGTCGACAACATTGTGCGCGCGCTCCGTCGAACATGCCGCACACATAACGCCGTCGTGAGGGAAAAACCCCCGAGGCTGAAAAAAGTCGGGATGGACCGGACGGGATTTTGTTTTTTGAAAAAAGACACAAGGAAGTACCAAGCCGGAGCGGTGGTGTACCAGGGGCGGAGGAGGTCGGGTTCGTTCGTCTTCGACAGCCAATCCATAGACCAATAGCCCTGTGGTGGACCACGACCACTTTGCGTTGTGTCATGCCTCGCCAGGTTTATCTGTTGCTTGCAAGATTAAGATTGAACCGCCGCAGCAGGTGAAAAGGGCTGTCTGTCAACCCTTAAAGAGTCTCCCTGATACCCGTTGTCGACACGACGCCTGCCTCTTCTTTCCACCAGAACCTCCTCTCCTGGCCCCGGGTTGAATGAAGACGCTCGCTCGTCTCCCCTTAACTATCTCGATCCCCTCGCCCCTGCCCGTTGCACTTACCAAAACGGTGATTATTACTGCTCTTTCTACGTCGACAACTCTTCCTCGCACCCCCACACCACGTGTGCTGCATGCATATGAAACACTGCTCTATCTGTTGCTCCCTGCCTAGCCAAAACAAAACAGGCTTAAGGCCAGGGCCACGCCCGGGCTATTTAATTACACGAAACACGACGGTCTGACTCTGAACCACCCCCCCCCTCAATGTGCAGCTAGCTCCCTATTGGTGTCTAGCCGGGCGTCATCGACGAACGCTCGCCACCGCGCCTCCCCGTGCTTCCTCCCCTTCCGAGGCGGTAGTAAACGCCTGCCTGGTGAACTCCACCAAGAAATCCCGGAAGTGTCTCGCGGCCACCGCCGCCGCGACGATGGTCACCATGCTCATGGCCGTGCGCGGCGACAAGAAGCTCAACAGCCCCGACCACGCCCCCCCCTCCTTTTTTCGGTGCAGCAACGATCGCTGCCGATGCCAAGCCGGGGATGAGCCAACCCCCCTCCCCACCCCCCCCCCCTCCGCAATGTAATTGAAGTGCTCCTGAGCCAGGGCCTCCACCAGGGCCTCTTCGATCACGTGCTGCTTGTCGGTGGTGGTTCGACATAAAAAAACGAAGGCCGACGAGTTGCGTTGAAGATTCCGATGTAGTCGTGGGAAACGTGGTCACTTTTTCGCGCCCAAGGGTTAATCTTTGTTCTTATTTCGCCGCCGGCCAGCGTCGGGCGTAGATGATTCATCCAAGGAGCATGTGTAGGATAACACCCACCGCTGAGCTATGCTACGCAACTGTATTTCTTAACCCCCACTGTCTTGGCTTTTTTGGCGGGAAACTTGAGCCTCTCTCTACAAATTTTGTCTGTCTTTGACAGCTTTACTTGTTGCTGTGAACGGACCGGTGCTAGTAAAGTCTACTGCTGTAGCGACCACGTGGCTAGCTAGCTATGCATATGTGTGACCGATCGCTGCCTTCGGGTCCAGATCACGTCAGTCAGTCAGTCAGTCGGCCAGTCAGTCCCCCCTACTGTACTGTACGGTCGTCAACTCTCGCTCGTGTACAAGAAGCAAGGTCGTCCGTCTCATACGCACACACGCTCGCTGTTGCTCGTTGGACCACCGGGGCCTCCCCTGCGCCTTGGTCAAGACAGCATACAAACAAAAAACAAATGGTGCTTACACCATCACGACAACAACCGCCCCTCAAACACGGACGACACGCGAGATGGCTCTTTCTCCGCGGCCATACATTTAAGAATAATACACGCAGACATAGAAAATACTACCCGTTGGAGATATAGCCACAATCCTAGTCTTTACAGTGCGTGGAAGGAAAGCCGGCTGGATACTTGGCGTATTTTCATGTCTTGAGTCTGTTCAAGCCTCCATACACTGAATTCACTTACCCCAACGCCTCTGGCCTTCTTGATCTGCCTCTCGGCCCCGTCCGGGAATATCAGCTCGACCTTGTCGTACCGACTGTGGAGCTCGTTTCCAACCACCACGTGCATCCCGTACCTGCGTTTCGCACGACGCGACGACCGAAATGATCCGGGACACAGAATGGGAAGCAAGGGGCCGCAGAACTACATGAGTCAGTCGAGATAAAGGACGCGGCAAGCCGTTACCAAACGCGCCAGAGCCGAGCAGGGAGGGAGTTCCGGTGCTCCGGCTTCCCTCTCACAACGATCCGAACTTCCGTGGAACGAACGAAGCAACCAGTACAGGGGCAAAAAAGCGTGAATAACGTTCGCCCGACACTTGCTGGAATATAACCGCAAAACGCCGCCTTACATATGAATAGGGATCCGGGGGCGCTCGGGGGGGGGGCGTACTCTTATGTTTTGCATGCCTTAGCGGTTAGACCATTGACCACACGTCCTCGAGAGGACGGAGCATTGCTCCCACAGGACCGATTACCGATGGCCAATCGTTCCTTCCTACTTTGCCAAAGGTGGCTCAAAAATGTCTTCCCTAGTCTATCTGGGGGCGCGCGCGGGGGGGGTAAAATCCCTTTCGTTTGTCACCTTTTCAGCGCCGCTCGTGCCTTGGGTAGGAGCCGCTCCAGGTCGGTCTCTAGCTTGAACGATATGCGGAAGCAATCGGGCGCCCACTCCTCGCCTATCATCCCGAGGCATTTGGGTACCTGGACAAGTGTACATACGCACAACGAGGACAGAAACGCTGGTTGCAGGCGAGAGCGATGGCCGGGACGGGTCGATGCCTTTCTTGTGATCTGAAGACGGGAACCGGAGACTGTACCCCCATATCTAGCGACGTTTCCCGCAACGCAAAACCAAGAAAAATACCACGGGAACAATATCTGGCAGGGGCGAGAACATCACCACTTTTTGCCACACGACTGACACACGCAGAAAAAAACAAAAAACAGGGGTAAGATGAAAGATGTTCTGATTACCCCTCTCCCTCCACTCCCCCGAATACCTCACGGCGCTTCGCGCTTGGTAATGTGCCAGCCTGGTCCGGTGAGAACCCGGCGTGCTGCGTCCCGGCTTTGTAGGGATGCGAGGTCAATGGTCAAACGGCTACGGCATGCGTTCACATGAGAACCCCCCGGCTCCCACCTCGTCCAAGTGCAGGGTTAGCCCCGAGGAAGCATCGCCTCGTACACCTCGCGAAGAGTCGATCTTGTGCTCGCGCAGCTTGTGGCTGGGTATGTGAAAGTCGCTGACCGCTGCGGCGAGAAAGAGCATGCCGTGCCTCCCCATCCTGTCCATGCATCGAGACACCATCCGGAGGCACCACAGGTACTCCTCGAGCGAGCTGGCGGTGCGTATCGGGATGAGGCGGGTGTCGCGAAAGAGAGAGAGGGGGAACGGGGGAGGGGGGGCTCGAAGAAAGCACGGCAGTTTTTCGAGACGGGTACGAAAGAAGGCAGTCTCTTGAGCTAGGTTGCAGCGGCAGCGGGAGGGAAAGCAACACCAGCGCTAAAATTCACTCACACGAAAGAAATGGACAGGAGCGAGTTGCTCTCGACCGCATCCTTGTAGGCCACCAGGGTCTCCACCAACCGCTCGTCAACCTCCGTGACGGCTCCGCCGCTACCCGAAACGATGCCCTCCTTTGCCGTCGATGCTGCTGCTTCCGTGCCCAGTTCTACTCTCCTAGTGTCTGACGGGGGACAAGGTTTGAGCACGAACATGGCCACCAAAAGAGGCCAGGAGGCCGGGGGGGGGGGCATCACGGAGCCTTTGAGTACTCACTTGCGTGGGGCGATCGCTGGGAAACAGGACCGGAATGCTCGTGTCTGCTGAGTGTTGCTGTGGCACGACCGTATCTCGAACGGACGACCTGGTGGCTCCGCTCCCTCGCAAAAGCGGAGCGGTTGACGTAAAACGAACTCACAGCTACATTCCGTTTTCATGTGTGGTTCCTACATAATATGCCATGTTAAACAAAGCACGCAAGAGATTGATTGTGCTTGACGTTTTCGGAAGGCCGAGCGGCCCCACCGAGATAGCATTAAGATCTACTTGTAAACTTTCCCGGCTGGTAAAATAGTAGTTGCTCGTTTCGTTGCCCTTACCGCCAAGCACGAGCTTGTCCATGAACTTGAGGTCCACGTGGTTCGACACCAGCTCCTGGAAGCGGCGAGCGAAAGGGGCGGCGCAGCCTTCGCGACCGAGGTAGATGACGCCATAACCCCTGGCGATGAACTGTCTGCCACAGCAGCGGCAAGAGAGCCGATGGAGGGAGGGAGGGAGGGAGGGAGAGGGCGCGTTGGATGTGCAGCGTACTTCACACATCCAGCCACCAAACCAAGAGGTAAAACCTTACACAGCTGTTGAACCTCGAGATCACCCCGCAATTGACGGGCAACAATCGACTATTTACCGACTAGCCGAACACGGGGTGAGTCGAGGTAACTCAACACCAACAGGAAATAAATTGGTGAAACATGAAACAGGCCGAGAGAAACGCCTTTCATGCAGCACTCAAGCTTCGGAACGTTTTGGCGACAACCAGCATGTTTGGTGATGACGCGGCTGAAATCAAGCCCGGCTTCACGCTTCTACAAAAACACGCTCAAGAACCGCTTGGTACCCAGTCGTCGGGGATGAGCAAAGTCAAGAGCTTCCGAGAATCAACGTGAGCAGAGCTAGAGGCAGATGTGCTCAGGATCACCTGTGACGCCTTATGGGCCGGCAAATCAGACACAGACGAAGCCAAAAATACCTGCGGGCAAGGGGTTGACTACATTTCCGGGCCTTCTTTCTCGTCCGTCTCAAAACATTTTCTCACTCCGTTATACATGCCATGCTGCCCCCACTGACGAACTCAAACCATTGCTCCCAAACCGCCAGCGTATGCGCAATCCTTTGCTGGTGGCCCGGTGGGTCGTGTGTGTTGTGCGCACAGCGCTTGGTTCATTTTCCCTTCGTGTCGTTGTTGACAAGACGAGCAGTGCTTTGGAGATAGGATGGCGTCAACCGCCGGTTCTACGAGCCGACGATTGGTTGATTTGAGTTTGAAAAAATGTGCTCGGAGCAAAAAACAAAAACGACCACGGACGAACACTTTTTTCTACGTGGCATTCGACCTCTAGCCTCGTGGTCTAACTGCTGCGTGGAAGACAAAAAAAAATGCACCCGCGGAGCATCGCCCTGCTAGGGCGGAACCAAAGGGGGGGGGAGGGGGGCATACTCTTGCGTTTTGCATGCCTTAGTTGTTAGACCAGTGGCCACGCGTGCGTTGGCGAGAGGACGGAGCATTGTTCCCACAGGACCGATCACCGATGGCCAACCGTTCCTTTCCACTTGGCCGAAGGTGGCTCAAACGTGTTCCCCTGTCCGATGTATCGTATCGGTATCATTTCTCGCTACCAGAGGGGAGGGCCTTTAGGGAGGGCTCCGAAAAGGGGGTTGCAGTAAACCGGAACGACAAATCAACTGCTTGCCGCCGTTAAAAAATGACTGCGTTGACTTTGCTTGGGAAGAAACTCGATCCTCACTCTGCAGAAACGGCCCCCCGTCGACCGGTGCTGAAGTTGTCGATGGTTCGCACGGTGTTGGCCTCCAAGGGAACCGCGGTGCCCCCGGCGGTGATGCACACGACGGGCCTCCCCCGCCCCCGCTTGTCGTCGAGAAACGCCTCCAACGCCTCGCCCGTCTGCTTCAGCTTGACCTGTGCGCATTGGTGGTTTCGGGGGCCCAGGGGGGGGGTGGGGGGGTAGGCATACAGCAGAGGAAACAACAAAGAGATGCAGAGCAGGGAGAGGAGGACGCCGTGGCATTTTACAGGTGTCAATGGACCTGGGCGACCCACGAAGAGCGGCCGAGGGGGAACGACCGTGGTTGTAAGCTGGCTGGTGAGAGGGTGGACCGTGTCCCCGGGATGATCAAGCACGAGTCTTGTCCCTGTGCTAACGTTGACGACGATGGAAAATCAAATCTACGATAAAAAAGGAGAACTTCAAGGGTGTGCCAAAACATGATGACCTACGACGGAGTCAACGTTTACGTAGCCGGCTACTGTACGTGTGTACGACGGTGTGGTATGCATAAATGTACAGTGGAGGGGTGCTGTTACTGCTGTACTAACAGCACCGATTGATATAAGGTTGTCGGTGTACCGTGCATAGTGCTACTACATAGGTTGGCGCGCACTGCTGTGAGAGACGTTGTAGGGTAAGCTAAAATGGTAGCGCATTGGGACATCGTATTCCGAGGTGAGTACCACCAATGGCCATCGGTTACGACTGCTACGCCAAGAGTGCTAAGCTCTACTGGAACTGCAACTGCAGCATGATGTTTACGAATCAACCAACTTCGGCAGCGAAATGCAAGGCAGGCTGTAGTAAGTATGTTCCTACCAAATACTGCTGTACTGCCTGCGCAACCGTTGGTACTACCGTACTGTACTTTGAAGTAATGATGCCGCAGAAGTGCAGATCATGTTCTTCGACGCATCACCCAACACAGCCCATGCGTGGCAGTTTCGCCATGCGAAGCACAAACAACATGTCAGTGTTCTGCCCAAAAAGGGACTGCTGTATGTAAATCCAACGTATGCCTTCATATGCATACACGTGGTCATTGATTGTTGCACGATTCATTGTGTTTGTTTACAAAAATGTTTTGTGCACCTGAAGAGTTTGTGGCTTCGAGTTGTCATCGAAGAAGGATCGTGCAGTTTCCGTGGTTCCGTGTGCAGACGTAGACATGACGTACGCGCTGTCCTGAGAATCAGCGACGGAACTTGTGTTGTTCAGTGTGTTGCAAACTGCAATGACGCTTGTATCCGGGGGCAACGCGACAAGGGAAGCAAGGGTGGCGGGGGGGGGGGTTAAAAACCTCGGCCGAGTGCATTGGTCGGTAAATAAATCTGACATGGACACATGTGTCGTGTGGGAAGTGGTGCTGCGTGAAATATCTTTGATAGCGACGCTATTGAAAGGAAGGGAGGAGCACCCAGCTCCGCGTCACTCCTTGGCAGCGTAGATGGATACACGAGGATGTAATTACACAAGTAGGAGCCTTGTGAATCTAAGATTCAAACAACAACCATGTGCACGAGCGGGCGACCGGATGGAAACTACACAGCAGTTATTTTTGTTAATTCCTCCGCGTTTTCCGTTCTTCGCCCTGAACCAAGAGACGCGAGCAACAGACGCAACAATATTATTTTAACACCTCTTCTGCGTCCGTCGGCACAACGTAAGTAAACTACGACACTTGAGCCTAGGAGTGGCATGCTGTGTAGGTGATTCGCCAACCTGCTGCTTGGCTGTGGCCTGGCACGGCGGTAGGCTTATTTGAAGTTCACACTGTCAGCAGGCAGTTGTTACGCGCCAGGACTAAGACAACTCCGTCTACATTCAGAGAGTCGGCCGGGTTCAGTCTCTTGGTGTTTGAAAAGGATCGTAGCAGGGGATGACGGGGGAACCGACGGTCGGGCTCGTTGGCGTGATTTCTGCTGCAGTTTCGCTATGGCGACAGGCACCGGAGAGAAAGGTTGACGAGAGATTTGATGCGATGAAACTCCGCGCGTCAGCCTCAACCTTCGCGCGCTCTCCATCATGATGAATCTTGGCATGAGTAGAGAGTAACCACCCCAGGGAGGCACCATTGTTCCGGCTTCCTGCATTCTTCTTCCAGCAACGCTAAGTCTACTCTTGTGCTCCAAAGGGAAAGGACGACAAACAATGCACCCTTCCTTATCGTCGCCTCTGTCCGGACGATCGATCAGCTGCGACATGCACATACACACGCTCGTTTTCCGCCCCCCCCCCCCGCTAAGCCACAAGACTTGACCGTCTCTACATTTACGCCGTTATACGTACTCCTTCGCTACTATAAACAGCGCGCTCGGCGGTCCAGTGCATGGAGCCCGCTCGCCAAGGGCGGGAGAAGTGCAGGTACGACGGTGACACCAGGCTCGTGGCCGGCTGCCTGCCGGTCACCCCGGACGGCAGGCTCGTGCTCATCGGGAGCGTCAAGCACACGGACTGGATACTGCCCAAGGGCGGGTGGGACACGGACGAGACCGCCGCGGAGGCCGCCGTCAGGGAGGCCTACGAGGAGGCCGGGGTAAGAGAGAGAGATGGATGCAAGCAAACACCCTGGCGTATGTAGCACTCGTGCAATCGTTGATACACCATGCGTTTGCGTTATGTCGGCTTGCTGGCATGGCGGCAGTTTGAGCCCCCCCCCGAACGGAACCCGCCGACCCGGTGTAGCTACACCAGGAAGAGTCGCGATAAGAGGAATGAAAGTATTTATGGGCACGGGCCGTAAGCGCGCATTCGTTCCCACGTTGCGAGTTGACGGCATTGCCGGGTGATCTAGAACACCTAGAGGAGAGGCGCTTGCAAGAGCACCAGAGGTAAGACCTCCTGATTCCTGAAAAGGTCGGTCGGGGACTACATGCCACTGGTCAGCCAGGCTACACCTTCTCTCCTTTCTTCGGGATCGACGGTGTCAGAACGGAGCTGCAATTTCGCAACTATTTCCTTTTTTTCAAGTACAAGTAGTCTGGAAAAGTCGTGGCATCCATCCACCGCACGACAAGTGCTTCGCCTCGCTCCGTTGCTCCGTTCCAGCAGTACCACCTGTTGAGGAACACATAGAATAGGGAACCTCGAGTGAAACAGCACGCAGCAGCTGCAACAATTGGGCGTACTCTTCGCCAGGAATACGGTAGTACCGACTCTTCGTTCAGCTCGATTCGAGTGGCATGTACGGAGTGGTCAACCGGTAGGCGTGGTGCGTCTTTACTTTCTTCTTCCGCCGAACTTCGTGGCATCCCCTCCGTCCAGCGAAAAGTGTCCGCAGCAGCAGCAGTAGCAGCTGCTGCTGCAGATCTCAAAGTGAACGGTCTCGGTTGCGCACATTCGTGCGTGCTGAGTCCAGCAGTGGCGGCACTCACATACCGCCCAGACATCCTATTTCTGAATCTGGCGTTGTTGTCTATGGATTGCCGTGTGCCACGGCTGCTTCCCCAATTGAATTGTTGTACTTGAGAATGTATTCATGTTTTTCATGTGTCTCGGTACGGCCATGGCGTCACGAAATGTGTTTCTGAATCTGGCGTTGATGTTGTATACTCGACGGACGTGATTTTTACCGGTTTTCGAAGTCAAACCCGTTCTCTCTTCCTGACCCTTCACCGAAACCGCCGCCACCACGACCACTAATGCCACTATGACCTTACCTAAACAGTTCTGGTTTATTTGGGTATGTGTACCACAGCGTTTTCTGTTCGTTCATGGTGAGTTGATCTCCTTGGCGTTGCATTTGCTGATGAAAAGGCGATAGGGTGGAAGTTCGTCCACGTACATGATCACCGCAAATGTGTGTGTGTGTGTTGCCTTTGCTGTTCTCGCTGTCTCCTGGTGGGTTGAGAAAAGGTGAAAGGGTTGGTGACCGCCGACTTGGGCCCACACGAGATCGTCAGCAGCCGAGGCAACAAGAGCCGGGCTGCGATGTTCGCTCTGCTGGTGTCGGACGTCTTGGACGAGTGGCCGGAGAAGCACAGGAGACGGAAAGTGGTGAGACAGAGAAGAGAGAGAGTGTTTGTTTTAGCATCGACCGCGCTAACCGGCTGACCAATGAAGAGACGTCAGTCTTAAAGAGGAACAACAACCTGAACACGTTTTCTGTTCAAAAGGTTCTACCGGGCGCAACCTATAGCTATGGGCTATGGGTGTG